CCAAAGTTCTAATGTAAATTGCACTCCCCTATCAGATATGATGTGTTGGAGTACTCCATGCAGTCTGTAGATGTGCTGCACAAATAGTTTCGCTAAGGTTTTTGTGGTGGGAATCTTTTGCCAAGGGATAAAGTGCAGTTGTTTGGAAAACAGGTCTGTAACCACCCAGATGGCAGTGTTTCCATTGCTTTCTGGTAATTCCACGATAAAATCCATGGCTATTTCTTTCCAGGGGACTGAGGGATTTGCCATTGGTTGTAACAGTCTGGGCGATTTCCCTTGCAACCTCTTAGCACAGTGATGGCGAACCTTTTAGAGACAGAGTGTCCAAACTGCAACCCAAAACCCATTTATGCAGTGTCGGGTGCCGGGTGGGTGTGGCCATTGGCTGGGTGTGGCCCATTGGATGGGCGTGGCTGCAGTGTAACAGCACGTTGGGTGGGACTAAAAAGTTAAATCAATCAATTCCAACATTGCAAGATCTTTTTTTTTCCGCAAGAAGTTGAAATTGACTGATTGATTGAACCTTTTTATTTTCTGCACACGGCAGTGGAGGCCTAAAGCAAAAAGGTTTTATAAAACCCAGCTAAAGGTCTAGGACTGGGGTGATGGCACAACTGCCCACAGAGAGGGCTTTGAGTGCCACCTCTGGCACCCGTGCCATAGGTTCACCACCACTGTCTTAGCAGTTGCACACGTTGGGCAGCTGGCCACGTAACTTTCTATGTCCTTTTTCATGGATGGCCCCCAAAATTGCCTTTTAATCAAATGTAATGTTTTTACAAATCCAAAATGCCCTGCTGATTTTGTATCATGGCATAGCTGCATGAAAGTGACCCTCTGGGTGGTTGGTATATATATGTTTTCCCCCACCCATGGCAGTCCATCCTTGATTGTGCACACGTGTCTAAAACAGAATTGGTGAAAATGCTGGGACCAGCGGGCTGGCTTGGGAGTGAGCTTCCTGGGTGTTTTTAAGGCTTCCAAGTTTTTGTGGTCATCCAGACCTGAAAAGGGATTTTATTCCCTTCAAGGAAATGGTGCCACGTAACGACCATCTCACAGCGTATGCCTCCTTTTCCCACATGGCCCAGTGCTGTTCCATTTTGGTGAGTTTCCTGGATGTGTACGTGCACGGTTGCAATACCCCTTCGTCGTTTTCTTATAATAGTACAGCCCCCACTGCCACATTGCTTGCGTCTGCCTGTATTACGAAAGGTTTATCCATGTCTGGATGCCTTAGTACGGGTTTGGCAAAAAAGAGTCTCTTTAACCTCTCGAATGCTTGGAATTCCATTGTCCATTTTAGTGGCTGGCTGGGTTTCACTGAGGATTCTCCATTCGTTTTTAGTAAGTTCGTGAGGGGCAGGACTATTTGGGCGAGCGAAGGGATGAACTGGCAGTAAAAGTTTGCAAAACCCAGAAAACTTTGCAACTGCTTCCTTGTGGATTGTGGTGCCCATTCTAGTACTGCCCTGACCTTCTCGGGGTCCATTTCGATGCCCTGTGGGGATATGCGGTAACCCAAGATCAGGGCGGCTACCTTAGGCTTGGCAGGTTCGATGAACCCACTTTCTAGGTTTTTATTTATGAATCTTTCCATTTCCTCCTTCTCTTTAGGGCTCATAGAGTATAGTCTGGGCTTTGGGAGTTTTGTCCCAGGCTTGAATTCTATGGCACAATCCGTTGGTCGATGAGGGGGAAGCTCATCCGCCCCCTCCTCACTAAAAACTTCAGCAAAGTCTCGGTATTCCTCTGGTATTTTGGGTAGCCTCTTTTCCTCTCCCACTAATGCTTTCTCTGCTCCTAAGTTTGGTAGGGCTCCTTGGGGGGGGGTTAAGTTCACATGATCCCCCTTCGGGAAATTGAGTTCTGCTGTCCTCCAATTTACCCAAGGGTTCCATTTCTTTAGCCACTCCAGCCCTAGGATCACTGGGCATTCCATGCCTGGGGTCACTACAAACGTTATGTCTTCCTCATGGTTCCCCAGGAATAGGTGGACTGATAAAGTGGCCAGGGTAGCTGGCACCCCCCCCCCCGCTATGGACCCATCTAACTGGCCAAATGAGATTGGTTGTTTCAGCCTCCTCACCGGGATCCCTAAGTTCTCCACTAGTGTCGAGTTAATGAGGCAGCAGGTGCAGCCAGAGTCTATTAAGGCTTTCACTTTGATAGCTTTGGGCATGGAGGGGGCTAATATAGTCATTGTCTTGAGGATTGGTGCAATGGGTGCAACCCACTTACCAGGAGTTCACCCTCCAAGCTGTTATCCGAGGTGTCCACCACCCCTGCAATGTAGGCCGGAGTTCCCTCCCCATGCTTGGTGGGGTGGGTACTCCAAAGCCTCGGTCGCCCTCGTGGGTTCTTGTGGCTTGGCTGGGGACTTCTGTGATTTCCTAGCCAGTGATCAGTCTGGGTTGTGCTGAGGGGCTTTCGAGCAGCATTCTATGGCATGATGCCCCTCTCTCCGCATTTGAAACAGCCCATTGACATCTTGGCTGTAGCCAGTGGTTTCACTGGCTCACGCGTCGGCTTAGGAAGCGAGCAGCCCCATGGTTTTCCTCGGCTGTGCCTCTTCAGTAGGTCAATCTCTGCTTCCTTCACAAGGACGTACCATTCATCGAGTTGGCGTGGGTCCCCACGAGGCAGGCAGGCATCATACAGGTTGTAGTTTAGGCCATCTTTGAAATGGCTAAGAAGGATGTCTTCTGGACAGTTTAGCTTGTTGGCGATGGCCCAGAATTCTTGTATATACTCAGCTACTGGGTGTCTGCCCTGCCTCACTGTTTTGATTCTCTCACAGGCTTTTTGATCAGCCAGGGGTTCCTCGAATTGCCTTCTCAGGAAGGACATAAAGTGATTGAAGTCATAGAGCTCTGGAGCACTGGAATAATGCAGGTTCACCATCCAGTCTGCGGCTGCCCCATCCAAAGTGGATTGCACAATATGGATACCAGCTTTGTCACTGGGGATGTCTCACCCATATTCTTCCATGCAGCTAAGGACTTGGCGTTGCGACTCCCCCTTGAATCTTTGGATGGATTGATGCTTTCACCGCCAACGGTGTTGTCTCCCATCCTGATCACCATCTGCAGGGCAGTGGGGAGTGGGGGCTGCCAAAACAGTAGCTGCTGTCTCCCCGGATGTCCCTGGGGCTACAGTTTCCAATTCCCCCTCAGTGTCTCTCCAGTTGTAGCCCAAGGTTTTGAGGGGGCCCAGGATTCAGGGTTCTCCTCCATGAGAGAGCCGCAGGTTCTTTTCATCAGGTCAATAGCTTTCTCTAGGATCCAGTTTGAGTGCTGTGTGTGACCTCCTTCCTCTTTACTAAGTTGCAGGGATTTCTCCATCTCTTGCTTCCATCCGGGTTGGTGGCTGCCCCATCTCAGGGTCACTTTCCTCAATACTTTTTCCCACTCTTCTTGCCAATACCCATCGACCATCAAGGTTTGTGGTCATGCATTTCCACCACTTCTTCTTCTGAGGAGTATGTCTCAGATCCTGACAAGTGGTAGGATCCCTGCCGGAGGGAGGACTTCCCTTTCACGGTGGGTTCTTCTTTCCCTGCCTCGTCGTCCGACATTGTAGTTTTTGCAAAGTCCCCTGGTAAGGGTCTGCTTTCCAGGTTGACTATTACTGCAAATCCAGTCTAATGTAAGGAACCACTTCAATCCCATATTTTAAGAAAGCAGAACTCTTGGAGATGGTTTCCTCCAATAGGAACTTTTATTAAAAGTAGTTGATAGCAGGCATAATAGATAGGATCTGAGGGATTCCTTTGCAGATCGATACTTTAAAGTGTCCCCAGGTAAACCCAACCCCACAGTTCATCTGGACAGTTCAAACAGGCCAATCCCCAGGTGTTCAGTCCATCATGGGAAAGGGGAGATAACATCAATCCGGCTCTGGTGGTAGTGCACTGTTCTTCGCACCTCCTTTTGAGAACGTGGAAATAAGCCAGGCTCCGGAGGTTGTATTTCTTTCTCCTCCCTTTTCCTAACTAACAGGTTAGGGAGAAGAAAGTTCAGAGAGAGATACAGTGCAGGAAGCAAATTGTTACATTTTAGCAGGCAGAGGACACAGAAGCAATAAACAAAGTAAAAGGTTATATTGTAGCAAATAGAGGAAGGGAAAGCAATAATCCCATAGGCACATCCTCCCTCCCCCTTGGGAGTATGGCACAACCCAGGGGAAGGTGAGATTTGTTTTTAGGTCAGAGGGGATAGGTAATGGGTTCTGACACTGAGTCTGGAGAGCATAAGCCATTTCACAAACCATCTCCTTCAAAGTATGGAATTCTGATATAAAAGCAGCAATTATGGTATTAAAGAAAAGGATATAATATCTGCTTTTATCAATTAGTGGCTATGTTGCTACTTAAAATGATAAGCAGAAGAATCAGCTTTTTGTCCATTTAAAAACTGTATAAGACAACAATAGTTTGGCACAGTGAAGCAGTAATAATTGAAAGAGCTAGCTAACAACAGTGAAGTTAACAAAAGCCCAATGTCTTCACATCTCTGGAATACAATATGTTGATCAAAAGCTGGTGATCAGGCATCTTTTAACCAAACTGAAAGGTGACATTTCCCAAATGTTGATTGTAGTACAAATATAGCAAATATGATTAGATGTTCAAAGTTAGATGTTCAAAGTTTCCCTCAATACCTAGAATAAAATTTAAAATATCAGAGAAGAAAGTTTTAGAGCAAATATAGCTGTAATTTACAAATTGATCTCTGTGTGATTTACACAGATCAACACAGGTATGCAGCTCCCAAATGTTTATAATGGTAATTTTAAGATCAAAATTAGATCATTGGAATCCCTATTCAATAGTATATACTTAAAATATAACATAAAAGTAAGCCAGAACACCTATTGTATGTACTGCTTATTCTGTAGCACTCATTAAATTCCATGTAATGTTATGTGCTTCTATGTTTTTGTTTTACTTCAGGGTGGGAAGTTTTACTTCAGAATGGGGAAGTACCTTGCTTTACCTGGTGGTGGAGAATGGATACCCTAGTAGTCTGGTAAGAACAAGTAGGTACTGTAGTACTCCATTAGAATGGATGTGTACATGGGTAGAAGGATGCCGTCTAAGATTGTTGGAGGTGCTGATCTTGTGGATCCTGAAGCTCTCTTTGGTTTACAAAGCAGCTGAGGGAAATTAAATGGGAGAAGAGATGTATGTTTAGGTGTGCGTCATGTATATGTTTCACTTTGAGAGCGGGCAACAAAATTTCATTTTTGATGTGTGCCGTTGTGCCTACAGTAAAAAAAAATGACAATAAAGGTTATCTTATCTTACATGATCAAATATGATTTAAAGTGGCTAATAAAGCCTACCTTATGGCAGGAAGGCTTGTGAAAGAGCATTATTTATTTGCCCTTATTGGGTCCATGGATAGCCATCAAGCCCTAGACAGATCAGACAGTTGAGAGGACATCTCCGTTTGTCTCAGGGATATGTTGGTCTTCACCTCTATATGTCTGATGTAAAAAGAGCTTATTCCTTCCCCCTTTTTGGTCTCTTGCTATTCTTGGGGCTCCCTCCATCCCATAAAAGAGCAGGAGGAGCTCAGCTTGATCATTGCCAAACTCTTGCAAGGCCAGTAGTTGCCAAAGATGAGATTTGTTGGAATATTTGTCATGAAAGTGATGTATCAACTGTGGCACATGAATATCTGTTGTTATTTCCCATGATCTTTCTGACTCTGGATAGCCTTTCCAGTGTACCAAGTACTCAACCCATTTCTCTCTGTATCTAGACTCTAACACCACTTCCACTTCATATCCTGCTTCCTATTTACTAGAATTGGAGGATGGGTACTGTCTATGAATGTAGAGTGCAGGGGATCCTGTTCACAAGAAAGATGGTCATAATATACAGATGGAACAATGGTAAAATATGTGATTGAAAGGATTAAATTTTATACCATATTATAATATAATCTTAAACAAAAATTTAGAGTGAATTTCCATTGATTTTTGCAACTACAAACAAAAAGCTACAGGATTGATTTGCTTAATCTCTGAGAAATGAATTTTCAAAGTTACAATAGGCTCCCAAAAACTATTTATGACCTGGTTTCAAAGTTTCAATGTAATTCCCCCTCACAGTCATGTGAATGCATTTTAGAAGGATACCGGCCCATATTTACAGCAATCTATAGGATCCCACAATACATAACCATGATTTACAATTTTGCCAGAAACTGGGATTCTCTTTGAGTTTGCAGGGAAAACTGTACTATAGTGAAAAATAGGTCACTTAATAAGTGTCACATTCACTTAATAACCATTGCAAAAAAGTTCATAAAGTCAGGTACAGTTGTGTGATGATCTGCTTTATGACCTTCATAGCTTATGAATGTAATTGCAAGGCTCAGTTATAGTCATAACTCAAGGACTACTTAGACAAATGATGAACATGTAATTGTTGAAATGTATACACTTTTATTAAATTTGAAAGAGAAAGAGAACAAGTGAAAGAACGTATGATAAAGTAGGATAAAAGTTTTGGTCATAATATACAGATGGAACAATGGTAAAATATATGGTTGAAAGGATTACATTTTACACTATGTTATAATCTTAAACAAAAATTTAATAAAATGCTGTATCATTGGTATATGTCACCATACAAATTGCCTAGAATGACAAGAAGGATATTTTATCATATTTGGTAGATATATAAAAAGTTGTAACATTTTGGATTCAAATACACACAATGATTCAGAGGATTTTAAAGATTAATATACAATTGAAAAATTTTCTTTTGGAATTGATAGACAAAAGTTGGAAAAAAAGTAAAGGAACTTTTTTTGTAAATGATAACCGCAGCAAAATTATTGTATGCACAAAAATGAAAATATTCAGCACTATTCACTATGGAAGTATAGTAGGTAAAGATGATGGAGCTTGCTGAGATAGCTAAATTGACTTCTTTATTTAAAAACGAAGATTACTGACTGGAAATGACTTATGGATTTTTTGCATAAAATAGAAAAATAATTATTTAATATAATTTATCTATCAACCTCCAGCTCAAATATCCTAATAAAGCCCAGGATTAATTTCATTTCTGAAAAACATACTAGTTTATTGAATACATGGCATGATTTTTTTTTTCTACAATAGCTGAACAAAATTTAACTCCTACCACTCAGATCAGTGAGGTTTCAAGATGTTCCCATCCAAATGCTATTCTCTGTATCTTTTTATTCTTCCTAAAATTAGAACCAAACAAAAATATTTATAATATTCAAAGGCATATTCCAGTTTTTGGCCAACCACACAGACTATAGATGTAACTGCAACACCATACCTGAGAAAAGTAGCCTATTACATACATATTTTAAAGCATTTTACTTTGGATCTCTCAAAACTGTCTCAGGAGAAAATTCATTTCTTTAAAACAAATTACAGGTAGCCCTCGACTTATGAACATAATTGAGCCCGAAATTTCCATTGCCAGTTGTTCAGTGAGTTTTACCCCTTTTTATGACCTTTCTTGCCATTGTGGTTAAGTGAATCATTGCAGTTGTTCAGTTAATAACAGTTGTTAAGTGAATCTGGCTTCCCCATTACTTTGCTTGCCAGAAGTTCACAAAAGGGGATCACACAATGCTGGGACAGTATAACCATCATAAACACATGCCAACTGCCAATCATCCAAATTTTAATCATGCGACCATAGGGTTGCTGCAATGGTCATAAGTGTGATAAATGTTTTTTTCAGTACCATTGTAACTTTGTTTTTATATATATATATAAATTTTTATTAATAATACAAAATTAAAAACACATTGGACATAGATATGACGTCACTGGTTCCATACATCTTCCAACATTTTACAATAGTATTAGTACTCATATAGATATATAGTTCTTGAACTTTGCTCATTATTTATAATATACTATTAACACTTTTTCCCTTATTTCTATATTTCTATTTATCTTTTAAATATACATTTGTCTATAATCTATATTTTATATTAGCACTATACATTTATCTTGGCTACCCTCTTATTGTCTATCCAATCACAAAATTGTTCCCAGATTTTATAGTACTTGGTTTCACTTTTGTCCTTGAGTTCCCATGTAAATCTATCCATTTCAGTGCAATTGAAAATTTTCAGTAATATTTCCTCTTCGGTTGGAGTATCTTTCTCTTTCCATTTTTGAGCGAAGGCTATTCTTGCCGCTGTTACTATATGCAGTAGTAAATAATTTGTGTCTTTCTTATATTTTCTTTCTATAATTCCCAATAAGAAAAATTCCGGTTTGGCTTCTATATCTATTTGCAAAATTTCTTCCAACCACTTCTTTAATAAGTTCCAAAATTTTAAAATTCGTGAATCATCTAAAATAAAGGGAATAATGATTAATAAGAAAGATTATAAATTAAGAGCTTTTGCTGATGATTTGGTTGTTACTTTGTCTCAACCAACCTATTCGGTATTGGAGTTGTTACAGATTATAAATCAGTATGGGCAAGTTTCTGGTTTTAAAGTCAATAATAATAAGACTAAAATATTATTTAAAAATATGACCAATTCGGACAAGGAGATCTTAGTTAATCTGACAGGTTTTGAAATTGTAAAAAAGGTTAAATACTTGGGGGTTTATATAACTGCTTCTAATGTAAAACTGTATAAAAACAATTATGAAATGTTATGGCTTAAAATGCAGAAGGATTTGAATGATTGGAAAAAATTGCAATTATCTTTTTTAGGGAGAATTGCTGCAGTTAAAATGAATGTTCTGCCAAATTTCTTTTTTTGTTTCAAATGATACCTATCTTAAAGAAAGAGGTAAATTTAGAAGAATGGCAGAAGGGTATTAATAGATTCATTTGGGCTGGGAAAAAACCAAGAGTTAAGCTTAAAATTATACAAGATGTTCGAGAGAGAGGAGGACTCAAGGTGCCAAATTTGAAATTGTATTATGATGCGGTGGTTTTAACGTTGATTAGTGATTGGGTTAACTTAACAAATTCAAATATACTTTTTTTGGAGGGATGGGATTTATTATTTGGATGGCATGCGTATTTAATTTATAATAAAAAGGTGGATAGGGTTTTTAAGTCCCATGTTTTAAGAATTGCTTTATTGCATGTCTGGAAGAAATATTATAGATTAAATTTTAGAATACCGTTGTGGGGAATTCCTGGGCATGCAATAGAGGGGATAAGGAAAGGAGTGAAAATGGATAGGATTTCTTACAAACAATTGCTTAAGTGGGAAGGGAATAATTGGCAATTAAAATCTATGGAGGAATTAATGCAAGAAAATATTATTTATTCTTGGTTCCATTATAGGCAATTATTAGAAAGATGGAGTATAGATCAAAAAGTGGGTTTTACTATGGAAGATGTGAATTTGATGAAACAAATTAAATATCAAAGTCGAACTCATATAAAAAGAGTTTATAATGCTTTAGTGGAATTGGATTCAGAAACAGAATTAATTAAAGATTGTATGGTTAAATGGGCTCAAAATTTTGAAGAGCCGATTTTATTAGATACATGGGAGATAATTTGGGTGAGGAATGTTAAGTTCACCCAAGCTCAAAATTTACGAGAAAAATTTTATAAAATGTTTTATAGGTGGCACCTTGATCCACAAAAGATGTCTCGTATGTATCCGAATGTACAGCCCAAATGTTGGAGATGTGGTTGTTTGGATGCAACGTACTACCATATCTGGTGGTCATGTAGAAATATAAAGGCTTTTTGGATTAAGATTTGGTGGAACATTCAGAAGATTTTTAATAGAAGGATAAAATTTACACCACAATTATTTTTGTAAGGTATTAATGAAGATTGTGATGGCAAAGAGATTATTTTAATGTTGAATTTTATCACGGCGGCAAGGTTATTGATTGGGCAATATCGGAAGAAAGATTCCTTGCCTACTATAGAAGAATGGTTTTTTAAAGTTTCTTATTTATCAGAAATGGCAAAAATTTCAGCTTATCTGAAAGACCATTCACAAGAGAGATATATCTCGGTGTGGAAAAGATGGATAAATTTTGTACAGAATAAATATGGGATTAGAAAGTATTATTTAGCTTTTGAATAATTTATAGTTTAAAGTGGGTATTTTTCTTTTTTTTATTGTTATGTTATGGTTGGACTTGTTGTTTCTATGTATTGGAGTTAAAGTACTTTAAATTTTTTGGATGTATGTATAGTTGATTGATGTTCACTTAACTTGTATGGTTTTTTTTTTGTTTTTTTAACCCTGTATTCAGCTTTGGGAAGGAGGGGGGAGGGTCATGGGCGGTGGGAGGGGGGGAGGTATTTTATTGTAAAAAGTTCATAAAATTTTCAATAAAAAAAAAAATAAGTTTCAAAATTTTTGTGCCTTTGGGCATTGCCACCACATGTGGTAGTAATTCCCAATGGTCTCTTCACACTTCCAGCACATCGAGGATTTCCCCTTGTTCATTCGTGCTAATCTTGTGGGAGAGAGGTGCCACCTATAAAACATCTTATAGAGGTTTTCCTTATAGGAGGTTGCTAGAGTAATTTTTAGATTTTTTTTCCCATAAACTTTGCCAAATATCCAAATCAATATTGTGCCAAAATATTTACACCAAATTATCATTGTTTCTTTCACCTGTTCCTCAATCATATCTTGCTCTAATAAATATCGATATAATTTATTTATAGTCTTGCCTTCCCTGCTAAATAAGATTTTATCTAATTCTGAAGAGTCTTGCTTTATGCCCCGTTCCTTTTTGTCTTCATTAAATTTGGATTGCATTTGAAGATACACCCACCATTCCAGATCAATTTCTTCTTCCTTTAAGGTATTTCTCACTTTTAATTCTCCTTTCTCATTCAAAATATCTTTATAGGTGACAGCACCCCCACGTTTTATCAAATTTGGATGTGTATACATTTCTAATGTAGACATCCAGTTGGGGATTTTCCTATAATTATTTCTTTTTATTTTTTCCCAGATATCCAATAATGCTCTTCTAATATAATGCTTCTGGAAGTGTTGCTGGACTAAATGTCTTTCTTCCCATAAAGTAGCATGCTACCTTGTCTGTAGGTCATGACCTTCTAGTGCTAATAATTTAGTATTTTTGAGATACATCCACTCGCTTAGCCAGACCAATGCCGCGGCCTGATAATACTTTGTCCAGTCTGGTAGGCCAAATCCTCCTCTTTCTCTAGCATTTTGTAATAGTTTTAATCTGATTCTCGGTCATTTCCCTTGCCATATGAATTTTGAAATAAGTCTATCCAAATTTGTAAAAACAATCATTTTTAAGTCAAATTGGTATGCACTGAAATAGAAACAACATTTTGGGAAGAACATTCATTTTAATGGTGGCTATCCTACCCATTAAAGATAACTGTAGTTTCCCCCAATTTCCCAAATCAGACCCAATTTGCACCATTAATTTATCATAATTGTCTTCTTTCAGAGTGATGCATCTTGCTGTCAATTGGATTCCCAAATATCTTATTTTTTTCGTAATCTGCATATTTATCCTTCCCTCCAATTCTTTTTTTTGCTCTTCAGTCATATTTTTTTTAATGAAAGTTTTTTATTTTTTCCATATAAACATTATAAAAAAAGTATACAATACAATTTTAAGATAAACATTATTACGACCTGCGCACTCCCCCCAGGCCGCGTCCACCCTCTCTTAAAACATTCCCTACTTCCCTCCTCTTTCTCATCTCCCATCCTACTCTCTTCCCCTCCCCTTCTCCTCTCACAACCCTACTTCCTCTCTACACTTGCCCACCTCTCATCCCTATCAAACCCATGAACGCAGCATAAGGGGAGTGCCCAGGCCGCACCCCTATAAGCAACCATTATCTATATTACACTTACCCCCCCATATTTCCTCCCTCCCACCCCCAACCCCCCTCCCTTTACTTCCCAGAGCAGAATACAGGGTTAATAATTAAAAGGATTTATAATAATAAGAAAAGAAAAAGAAAAAAAAGAAAATAATAATAATAATAAAAAAATGAAAAAAAAATCATACTTAACCTTTAACTCCAATAGCCTATAAGACAATTCTCTGTAATATTTACTATAATATTCATTCATAAAATAAGTGAAACTTTTTTAGTTCCATACTTTTTCTGAATATAATCTATCCATCTTCTCCATACAGTGATATATCTTTCTTGTGTATGATCCTTTAAATAGGCAGAAATTTTTGCCATCTCTGTAAAACTAGATACTTTAAATAC